TCTTTTCTGCGACGCTCGCTATGAATTTCGTCACACACACACACACACACACACACACACACACACACACACACACACACACACACACACACACACACACACCAACAGACAAACTTAGCGGATTATATATAGTAGGATTTTTCTGGCGGTTGTTTTCTCATCTCTTGCTGTTGCTGCGTGCTTCCACTCGAGCGTGCGCTACCCCCCCCCTCCTTCATCGTATCCCCTCCCCTCTGCTTCCTCCACTTGCACATGCTCATATCCCGCTGAGCACGTGCAGGTGAAGGAAGCAGAGGGAAGGGGTCACCCGGTGCCCCTCCCCACCCTTCGGCTCCACCCTCCCCCTGCCCCCGCACGAGCACATCCAGCTGCCACGCCAGCAGCTCGTGCAATGGCTCGGAGTGTACCGAATGGTTGTCTTATATAGGGGAGGCTGTTATCCTAATCAAACATTGGATTGATACATCTGCAGCTATCGGTTTCCTGTTTGCGTCGTTCTTCCTTGCACTAATTCTAACCCATGAAGCAATTTGCGGACGGATGGTTTATAGAATGAAAAGGATTTGAAATTTTTCTGGCGGTTGTTTTCTCATCTCTTGCTGTTGCTGCGTGCTTCCACTCGAGCGTGCGCTACCCCGTCCCCCCTTCACCGTACCCCCTCCCCTCTGCTTCCTTCACTTGCACATGCTCAGGTCGGGCTGAGCACGTGCAGGGGAAGGAAGCATAGGGGAGGGGTCCTTGGGATCCCCCCCCTCGGCTCCACCCCACTCCCTGCCCCGGCCGAGGCACACCGGCCAGCTGCCACGGCCAGCCAGCTCGTGCAATGGCTAGGAGTGCTACGACATGGTTGTCTTAATATAGTCGGAGGAATTTTTTACCTATCAAAATCAAAAAACATTGCATTGATACATCTGCACCAACCGATTTCCGGTTTGCCTAGCGGTCGTTTTTCCCTCCAGTAAATCGAACCCGTGAAACATTTTGCGGACGGACAGACATACATACTTACATACATACTTACATACATACATACATACATACATACATACAAACCGACACACAAAGTTACTGGTTTATAAAATGACCAGTCGGATCGCACGGCTGACGCCGTGCTCTCCTCCTTCTCTTGAGCTCGGCTTCGCCGAGCTGGCCTGGCTTCGCCAGGCGCTCCATAATTTTAGCGGAACTTTTTCGGTAGTGCGCTGCTCATAAGGTGCTGTAGTGATCGTCATAACAGGCAGAGCAAGGCTTAGGATCCCAGCACGCGCTTCCATTTACAGCAGCGGTGTAGTCCGCGCCATGACGCCCATAGAATACATAAATCTGTAGATAGATACAATGTGTAGTCGGCCAATACAGCGCAATATGAATCGCTCAGTGAAATAGCAGATTTCGTTTCCATTACCTGCACCGGAATGCCTACCGACGAACTTTCCTTTTCAATTAGCAAACTTCCGCTCGTGTTTTTCGGCTTCTCCTCGAATTTCCCTGAGATTCCCGTTTCAGGCGAACTACATACCCCCCCCCCCCGCTCGTCGACAGCGGCATTATATAGTGGGATGAGTTCATTTTCTAAGGGCAATCAGGGAAGGATAAAGGAAAAGTATGCACACTGAGCCTTTGATACTTGGGGTATAGTGATAAGAGAGGTAATGATAATGGCCCCTTATCCTTTCTTATCAATTGATAAGATCCTGTCACCCGTCATCAATGTCCCTATCACTAAAACTCTATAATTTGGTAGTGTAAAGGCTCCAGCAATTTGACTGAACCGCACTGGCAACGTTCCTTATCAGCCCCTATCAGCTGTTATCACCTCACGTGCCGTGTCCCCATCTCCAACTCTATATCATTTTCTGAAATTAATGCCTAGGTGATGCTGTGTTCCGCGTTATGAGTATGGTGACCTTACCATTCTAACTCCCCTTATCAAATCCTATCAGCTGCTATCGTTCCCTGTCAGGCATCAATAATGTTCCTGCTCGCACGTACCTAATATCTTTAACCTTGAAACCATGTCCCACTAGTGTTTACTTGTGTATCCCGCACTATGGGCTCGGTCACCCTCCCCTTCTGACGCCTCTTAACGGATCTTATCAGCTGCTATCATTCCCTGTCACTCATCAATAATGTTCCTGTCCCACGCCCTATATCATACCTTGGAACCAATGTCCCACTGTTACTGTGTCCCGCACTATGGGCTCGGTCACCCTCCCTTTCTAAGGCCCCTTATCGAATCTTATCAGGTGCTATCACATTCTATCACCCACCAAAAGTGTTCCCGTCCTGCCATGTATATCACTTCTTGGAACTGTCGTCCTATCTTTCTGCGACGCTCGCTATGAATTTCGTGACAGACAGACGCACAACGCAAACACACAAATCACACATCCACACACTTACAGACATACTTAGCGGATTAGTATCATAGTAGGAAGGATATTAGACATGCATCCAAAAGGAAGTTGCGTCCAAAATGAAGTATTAGACATGCGTCCAGAAGGAAGTAGCTTTTAGTATTAGAGAGCATCACCGAGTGAGAATCACTAATGTTATGACAAATGCATGATCAATGAAGAGTTGAAAATTGAACAAATGGGAGGATAGGAATTGAAAGACAGTGCGTTTATTCATCGATCAATAACTTTAGGTTCAAGAATCGCTAAGACGCTTAAAAGATATAGTGTACGTAAAAGTGTACCATCTCATTACTTTATACAGTATGAAAAATTTTTGAAAACACAAAACAGTATCTGAATCACTTGTTGTTCTAATGAAGGTTTGAATCTACAATTGCATTCTTATGTTCTGCATAATTGCTTTACCAATTTTTTTAAAAATTTCGCTATCATACTGTGCTCCGTGTGTGTGTCAATCCATCAATTTCCTAAGAATCTAACAGTAACTTGTGTGATACGCAGTTAGTTTGTTACCAAGTTTACTAGGCAATTGTATCATTTAACTTCTGTGCACTAAACCATTATTGCTAACAGTAATGTTGTACCGTCATGGTGTATTGTATTATTTGTATTCCCAATTTGTCTCGTTATGCTCTATCGAGTATTTTATGCACTATGCATTATTAAAGCAAGTTATATGTTTATTCAATACATTTCAGGATATCTGGATATCCCTATCGTTTTTCTTCTATATTTATCCATCAGCATGAGCAACGTAAGTTTTAATTAGTTTGTATCATTTTTCTTGAAATTATATGATACTAAGGAACCAAAAGAAATCAACATTTTTGTAAGTCTGTTAAAATTATTAAATATTAAAGTATATTATTCTTGAACTTCAGATAAATGTGTAAATGTTGTCTAAGAGCCATAAGCTTGGAACGAAATTTTAGATAGTTTAATACGGTTTTGACTATTCAAAATCGGATCAGAGGACACGCTTAGAGAACCACCAGGAGGAAGTTAATAGATCCGTTGTATCCAAGTGGATCAGAATAATATCAATTCCTAACAAGGATCGGTCTTCAGTGGGGGACGTTAAGGAATACTTTTTGACTAAAGTGGTGAAGTGAGATTATTAAAACTTATAAGGTTTTAAGGAAAACTTGTCGGTTAGCATTGTATGTTATTAGTTTTAGATACTCAAACAATGAAGACCCCAGACCGTTATCATGGGTACAATATATAGGTGGAAATAGCGAATTCACGAATTTAAAGGTAATACAGCCTTTATAATAAATGAATAGCTGTTGTAAACCTACTCATTAAAGGCTGAGATGTCGTATCAATTCTGGCAGTTCTTCTTAGATAAGGGTAGGAAAAACATTGCTGATTTCAACAAAGAAAATGGAACTAATATAAAGTTATATCGCGGGCAAACTGTTAGAGTCAGCGACCTAGAGAATCTCAGGTAACAATGTACTTATCTAGGTACTGGGAGTTAAGTCATGAGCATTTCAGTTTATATTTACGTAAAAAATACGCACCTATTGTGAGGAACATGAGCTAATTGCTCCTGAGGTAATTATAAAAGGGAGCTATATTTCTATCCGAAATGGTTCGAGCGCGGAATATAAGGTTAGTACTTAAAGTGTTACACTGTTGAGGTATATAGAAGGCAAATGCTTCATTTTAGAAGTACAAATCAACAGAATTAGCTATTTTACTTGGTTTGTTATATGATGATTGGAGTGGTGTTCCGATCAAGAGTTTGTTAACCTCTTCTGAGTTAAAACGATTTGAGGTAAGCAAGCAGACAATGAATGATCATTTATATATACGCATATATAGCTAATTGTAGAGTGGGCAAACTGTGTGGGGCTCTCTGAAGCTAGATGTCTTAGCAATTCCTAAAAGCGTTTCGACAAAAACTTCTGAAGAAGTATTAATAAGGAGGTAGGACCCAATGTTTTGGGTAACTATGTCTTATATTGGATTAAAAGGTTTGTCTTTAGGTCCACCAAGGCAGGAAGAGAGGAATTGTTGAGTCAGAATCATTACCTTCTAAAATGGCAAGAAATGGCCTAGACGAAGTTCCTAATGAGCAGATTGTTACGGAATGAGATTGCATTCAATGTTAGTATGAAGAGAAAGATGAAAGGTTTTATCAAACTAATTGTTATTGTTGTTCCTATGTTCTAATAAAATTATTATGTCGGAAATGTTATATGTGTTTACATATCAGAGTAAATAAGGATAGAGTAAATCCTGAAAAGGGGCTTGACGTCACCGACGTCTTGTTTGGACCACCGGTCCGAAGGCATCACCACCGGTGATAACGAGGCAGTTTCGTCAACTAGAATATATAAAAAGGTATCAACCCGATTGACGGAACTGGTTTCC